TGTGGTACTTCCTGTTTATCACTGTTGTATTCAGCTGATCATGAGGTAAATAAACTATGTATTACAATGATCTGTTACTTTTTAAATGTTTGATTTATTGCATTGAATCATAAATGCAATAAACAGAACCCAAACCAAAACCCCACCCCCAATTTTTTTTTTTTTACTTCATTTTTTTAGGGGTGCTGAGTTCAAATTTAGGGGTGCTTGAGCACCCCCAAAAAGAGGCTAAAAATGAAAACATGAAAACATAACCAGGTGCTCAGTGAACAAAGCAACCATACAGACACGCAAAATGACAGAAAAAAGCCACTTTTTGTAATATAAATGTCCAAAATTGCATTAAAAGACATACAAAATATTAATGCATAGTATCCAGAACCCTCAATGATAATTTATAAATAATAATAATAATAATAATAATAATAATAATTAACCCTTTGAAACCTGTTTCTGCTGTATAATTTAACAATTGTTACATATTGGAATTATTGCGATATTGCACTTTTATTCAGTTTCACAGCGTAGTAAATTACAAAATCGTCTTCTTTGTTAAAACAGGTCTCTCTTGTAAATGAGTCGTCAAGACTCAACTTGTATTAATAAAGGTTGAATGAATGAAAAGATGCATTTTTACAGCCTCACATTTGAACACGGAACCTTTGTGAAAAAATCAATTTAAGCCGGACATATTTTCAAAGGTACAAATTGGACATGCGCACTAGGTAACAAAACGAGAAAGTAAGACGTTGTAGAATCTGCAGCTTGCGTTTTCGAATTATTGTATTATTTCATTTAGCTGTATTTATCTTTAAACAAAGTATAGCTCAGCATTAAAACACACCCCTATTTAGCTTCTTTTTTTTTTTTTACAGAATTTTGCTTCCTCCGTGGGACATTATGAGCATGTTTTCCTCCCAAACCTCGTCGTTCCAAGATTCAATCGACGTGGAGGAGAGAGATGACTTTGACAGCGAAGAAATCGCTGCTTACAGCCAGAAAATTCATCTGAACTGCTACTACACCATCTATCTTTATCAAGGCACAAGGTACTGGGTGATGTCAATAATCCATTTTATTTATTTGTTTTGGACAGTCGCAAACTGTACGGGCCTGTTGTGTTTGTGTAAACACGTTTATTAAATGTATTTTTACTCCGCAGTCTCTCTCCCTACAAACAGGTAATATATTTGACATGTCGTCACTGTTGAGGCCATGATCCTCAGAGTTGCTGGAGCTCTTTCTGCACATAAGAACCTCATTACTGCATGAAAGTTAAAAGCAGTAAACTGTTGATTGTCTCAGATCTGAGTCCTCTGGGGAAAATGGGGCATGGAGCCGGAGACGTGCAGACTCCACAACCAGTCAGGATGACTTTAGGTAACACAGGAGCCGTCCGCTTACCTTCTTCTTGCTGGTCGTTTCTCTTTGGCTTTCACCGTTTTGTGTCAGTTTGTCCATGGGCTGCTTCAGGAAATCCCATCAACATGGAATCCATGCTGCTGTCACTCTTTGTTTTGTCTGGGTGATTTTTGATGTGTGGCTACGTTCCATTGCTCTGTACGAGCACAGTGTGTTTTGCACAAACGGTGACACCCGGACACAGTTACACATCAGCGACTCAGGTGTGTGATGCGTTCGGTGTGCGGCATCAGCTTCTTCCATCTCTTCATTGACTTGAGTAGTTTCCAAATTCGCCAACACCTTCACGGGCTGCTTGAACCGGTACCGACTGTATGCTTTGCCCGCAGCTTGACACTAATCGACAGCAGCCTGCCATCGGAAGCAGAACCGGAGCTGCGGACCTACATTTCCAGGAGGCTGAGCAAAGGAGCCTTGCTTGGAGGCATGGGCAACATCGCCGCCGTGGACCTCAGGTATTCATTTTTTAAACTAAAAGTCTTTCAAACTTTAAAGTTGATGCTTAAGTTTGTTTTGCACTGAGCCATGTCAGTCATTTAAAAAAGGTTAAAATGGAACAAAAATTCAGAGTCAAAAGGAACATCGGTCTCTTCTTTGCAGTATTCCAGAGCAGGCAGTCGGCTGCTACTGCTGTCTCCTGGAGCAGGAACGGTCTCCTGAACAACCCGAGGCTGATGGAAATGGATATGTCATCTGCTTCATGGGGGGGTCTGAAAAAGGACTGAATTTATATCCTTTTGTGTAGGCAGAGAAATGTACATCCAGCATTATACATGTAACTAGCACTATGGAATGCGTTTTATTGCATTGTTTTTTAATTTAAAAAAACAAAACATGAAGCCGTTTTGTTGTAAATCTTTGACCAGAGACACATTTCGATTAGAGCTTGATAAATACGTCCAAGGCCTGCACGGCAGCCTCCAAACACCAGAGGTATGAGGACGCGACGACACGGTTTCATATTGTCGTTTTGGTATTTCTGCATCTAAATGTCTCGCCGTGCGTTTTGTAGCTGCAGAACCTGGAGACAGAAGTGCGTCCCTATCTGAGCCAGTGGTTCGAGGAGTCCGTGATGCACATTCATCGAGTGGTGCAGCTGGTTCAGAGCAGCATCAGCTTCTTGCTGCACGCGGTGAGTCCTCTCATGCCGTCAGTGCAGCCATCTTGAATCGAATGATCTGCAAAAGTTAATCAGTTGAAGATTTACATTGAAAGATTCATTTTTGAGACTTTCGTTAAAATCTGTTCAGCGATTCACGAGATATTTTGCTAACAGACAAACGTATGCACGCACAGGCACACAAAAACATTATCAGCCTTTCGGCAGAAGGTGATGAGCATTGATGGTTACTTTATAGATGCAACAGGCTAATCTTAAGGCATGAGCACTTAAAGCACAAGCTGGTTGAGTTTAAATAAACACGTTTTAAATGTTTACAGTTTAATGTTTGTCATTCTAAAACATGTTAAAGGCCTTGAATGCAGGATATCAAATCTTTTATTTCATCCCAGCTTTGATACTTTGTTGGAGACATTTGAGCTTCTTTAAGGACATTTGACCTCTTTTGGTGTTAACTGTGTAGATACATATTTGTCTTTTTATATTTACCGTATTTTCCGGACTATAAGTCGCTTCGGAGTATAAGTCGCAGGACTGGTCAAATTATGGAAAAAAAAAAGTGTGACATAGTCTGGAAAACACGGTGAATATGGCTCTTGTGACAGAATAAGTGTTACTGTGATACTTGAACTGCTCCTTTAAATCCACATTTACTATATTTGCTAAAAAGCTTCATTTAGTTCTGCTTTTAAAGTAAAGGATGTTTTCTCAGAACAGTTCAGTCTAAACTTTCTTCATTCAGGCTCTGAGCCACAAACACGTGGAAGTCATCAATTCAGACGAGAGGACGAAGGCTGACGTGTCCAGGTGAGTTCCGGGACAACCCTTACCTGAAACTACCCCACATGTGAAGGACTACTAACGTGTGTTTGTGTCCACGGCTGTCTGCGGGTTCATCAGGTTCATTAAAGCAGCCAGTCTACAGGGTCTGTCCCAGCAGGACGCCACGTCGACCTCTCTGTGCAAAGCCATCTCGGAGGACACGCAGTCTGACCTGATCATTGACTGCTCCACCAGCCCACCCACACTCACAAACACCAGTAGGTCACAGTTACTGGTGTATAGATGGCATCACCTGCACATCCATAGGGTTATATTTGATTATCCTTTTAAGAGTCTAATAAAGGTGCTGTGTTCGCCTCAGTCAGTAACAGATTCTGCGATGGCTGGATTCAGGCGTTCCTCAACGCTGCAGAGCGTTGCAACCCCTTCCTGCTCCGACAGATTCTGGAGAACTTCAAACTTAAGGTGAGGAACACGGATACACAGAAGTCAAGTTATGTAAATTCTTAGCTTCTCATTAACGTTGCTTAAAGTATTTTTCTCTGTATAAGTCGCGTATTTTTGCATAATTTGTATTCCCTGCGACTTATACGCCGAAGCAACGTATTTATGGATTTTTTTTTCCATATTTATAAACAAACTTTTGGCTGAGATCTGACCGTTTTCATTTATTCTGACTGAAAATATTGAACACTACCATTTTCAGCCACTAGATGGCACCAGAGTTTTATAGACTGCTGTTGTATCATGTAATTGGTAAAAGTGGCTATTCGTGACACAATCGGCTTGCCGTAGTCTGCCACCTGCTCGCCTGGAGCAACCATCTTCATTTTGCTGCACCGCTCCGGTGAAATGCAGCTAATTTGACTATTGAAGTGCATTTAGTAAGTAAAAGTTCAACAGACACACCTTTTACTATAAAGTCGAGCAAACAAATAATTGTTTTTAGGTGTTTATCGTGTTAAATTTCAAAGAAACGCGCAGCGTTCCTCCTTCCTGATGTCCTCCCTGTCTGCGTGCTCCTGGAGCACAGAGGCAGCAAATACTTTTAAAATACAGCTGATCTGACCATTGAAGTCCTTTTATAAAGTAAAAGTTCAACTGAGACACACTTTTTTTACTATAAAGTCGAGCAAACAAATAATTGTCTTGTTAAATTTCAAAGAAATGCACAGCGACTCTTCCCTCTGCACGTGCTCAGTTCCACAAATTGGGTTTTGAAATGCAGCTGATTTGACCGTCAAAGTGCATTTATTAAGCAAAAGTTAGACTGAGACACACATTTACTATGATTTCAAGCAAATAAATAATTGTTTTTAAGTGTTAATCTTGTTAAATTCTTGTTAAAGTCCTCCCGTGCACGATCCTGCGGCCACCATTTGGCAGTCAATCGATTTTTGGCACAACACCGGCCCACGTTTCCAGGTTGTCAGCGGTGACGCATAATAGATACGACTTATACAGCAAAGTGACATATTTATGGATTTTTTCCATTTTATTAGACGTATTTGGACCGATGTGACTTTCAGGGCGGTGCGACATGTATGGCGGAAATTACGGTAGTTTTTTTTTTTTTTTTGATTCTGCAGGCCATCCAGGACATGAACGGCCTGAAGCGCTTCGTGCGGCAGGCTGAGATGAGCCACTACGCCCTGTTTCGCTGCGCCCAGTTCCTGCAGAGCTGCGGGAACGGCGACGTGTTGCTGCAGAACGCCCGAGCGGAGCACAGCGACCTGCCTGAGGCCTGCAGCATCATCGGCGTCCTGGAGGAGTTCCTCAGCGAACAAAGTCAGGCCTGACCGACTCACACTCATCCAAACCAACACTACGAACCTTCTAAAGCTCCAGATTGTCAGATTTTAAAAAGTGCAATGGATCAGTTTAGAAAATGAACTGTTTGAGGAGCATGCAATAAATAAAGTTATAAACCGTAATTAATACACGATAAAGTGATGATGTATCTGATCTGTGGCACGACTTTACTAACGTGTCTTTGTGTTTGTAATCATTTGTTGTTTACTACGCTGACAACAGGAGCAGGCATGTTTGGTTAACGAGTCATAGAAATGAAAGAAATTTGTACAATTAATTTTAGTTTTGTGGTTTAAATTGTATATAAAGATGTAACAAACCAAATATTTATAGTCGGACCAGAACAAAGAAATTACACTAATTAGAGCTCCTACTAATTGGAGCTATTGTTTATTTATGCACACGCTTTAATATTTATTTAATTGGTTTTCTTTAGAGAATGCACAAATCACTTTTATGCATTGCTAGTTCTGATTTAGATTTCAGCCCCGAGTCTGCACTAATATTTTACTTTTCTGTTGTAACTATGTTCGAGTTGTTTTTGTTTAATCCCACTGTGGCGATGTGGTGTTGTCGATTATGCTGGATTATTAAAACGAGAGTCATTTTCAGAAGTTTGTGACATTGTAGTATACTGTATACTGTATGTAGTCTATCATAGTGGGGAAAATAAGATTGTTTTTTCTTCTAAATGTTGAATGAAGTAGTAAATACAGAGTAAATATTAGACCAAGTTTAAATTTCCTCTTCGAAATGTTTAGTCTTTTTATTCCATAAACCTTTTTGTAATCCGATTACATTAAATCAAGTCTAAAGTATGTGAGCAGTATAAATATTTTAAGCGATGAAGCAGGTGGTGTGTAAATGTGTGTGTAGAAACACTTTCAGGTTCTCTGCAGCTATAAATCTGTGATTCTGTGAAATAAACACATTTAACCTTCAGCGCCTGGTTGTGTCTTTAAGCCCACAAAAAACTGTCAGAGGATAAACATATTTATATTTATTAAAAACACATTAAAGCAGATATGAGGCAGCCGTTTAGTAATCTGTGTAAAAACAAAAAAATACAAAGTGAAATATAATTATTGCTCAAGTCTTTTCTTCATATTTTCCAGTAGGTTTCTTCTTGGTTCTGTTGGCCTACAAACAAAAGATCAGACGTTAAATATACAGACGTATATTTAATATGAGACGGTAAACGTTAGAATAAAAGCTACCCTGACTGTGATCACAGCTCTTCCTCAAAATGCAGCTTGGCACGTCGTAGATGCTGTCTGTGGGGTTGGAAAGGTTCGAAACGTTTCCAAAAACAAGGAGATTAATAATTTTGCAACGAGCAGTTTATAAACAATAATCCAACGTTTTAGATCTTATTCCACCTTGAGGTTCAGTAGAGGTCTTGTAAGACTGAGGGAAGTCGTATATAACGTCGTGCATCTCAGGCAACGGAGCGTCACATCCGCCTGAAAGCACAAGACACGATTTTATACGTAAACGTGTCTTTATTAGAGTAAGTTATTTAAATGTATTTACTTTTTCTGGAAGGTAAGACGTCGTAGAGGCTTTGTTTTTCTTCGTAGCTCAACTCAGGATCTGAAAACGAGACTATTAGAGATCAACCAAATTCCCAACACACGGGGGGGTCATGATGGATGGTTACCATGGAGATTCTTTGAGTCGAAGGGTCGTGGTACGTTCTGGTAGGTGGCCTCCTCACCGTCCTGCTCTGCAGACGGGCAGATGGTCGAGGCCACGCCCGCCGCCTCAGAGTAGATGTGCTCTGAAGAGGAGAAGGTGGAGAGAGGCCGAGGGGGCACCACCTCCATCACGCTGTCGCTGTTCAGCCTCTCCCGCTGACCGTACTCCTCGACCCTGAGGAGCAGAGAGACGGTGTGAGGTGGGCGTCCATCTGTGAGGAGACAAGTCAAAGTGTGGCGTACTCTGTGGCTCTGGCATCAGAAACACCGGAGGAGAGCTGCATGGCCTGCCAGAGGTGTCCAACCCACTCTTTTCTGAGAGCGGCGGTCTCTGCTGCCTACACACACACACACACACACACACACACACACACACACACACACACACACACACACACACACACACACACACACAAGGTTGGTAAACGTGTGAAGAGGATGGTTTCAGGCCTGCTCACAGCGACTCACCAGCATTTTTCTCTTTCCGTTCGTCATGATGATCTCAAACAAGAAGGGCTTCCTGTCCGTTTTCTGGATCTCTCGCACCGACTGAACCTAATTCAATCAACCTCATCAGGTCCAGTCACAACAAGAAGCACCAACCATGGGGGAAGTAGAACCACAGTGTGGTTCAACTTGACTTCGCTAAAAGGATCTATGAAACTGTGTGAAAGGTTGAGGAGACACATTCTGCTCTGTTACAGTAAAAGACGGCCCTGAAGCGCAACACGAGTCAAGATGGAAAATAATTAAAGGTTTAAAAAAAAAAAAAAAAGAAGCAACATTTCACTACATAAAGCTGAAAAAGAAGACACGAGGAAACAAAATCAACTACATTTTATAAAAGCTCAACAACAAAAGCACAATTTTATGTCAGCTGATACAATAAGTTCAGCATCATGTGATGTTTTTTCATGTTTTTAAGTATTTTGGCTTCAACACGTGTTGGATTAAAATGTTAAGACATGTTTGTGTTGGTTTAATTATTTTTTTGTTTACGTTGTTTTGTTTTCCAAATGCTTCTTGGTATCAGGAGTTTTTATTTCTTCTTTTTATCAAAAGACATGAGTGATTTTCACTGTTTTTCACATTTGGAGCCACAAATTAAAAGTTACGAGCGTCTCCGCTGTAAATCAACAAACTCCTTTAGTGAGGATTGAAAGGGCAATCTGCATATGCATCTAGCTTTGCCCAGCTTTAGAACTGGGACCCCACACTCTTCTCGGACGAGAAGCGGAACGTCTTGTTACAAATAAAGTCCAGTTGAGTTTTTGTCTTGAACTTTTGAAGTTGTGAGTCGTGTAAGACCGCTGTTTTCACCTCCTTATAAGAGCCGAGTTAAATAAGCTGCCAGCAATCATTTTTAAACCCTCCATTTGGTGTTTCATTAACCACAACAGGACCCCAACCTCTTCACTGGGAACGCTGGCTTTAGTGTCTTAGTGCATAAATTAATGTTTTCAGCCAAAACATCATGATCTCAGCAGCTGATAATGTCCTGAAACAATTTGAATCCACAAAGACGCACATTGGTGCATCATCAGATGTTTCATCAGAATAAATAAGAAATTAAATGTTTATAGCACTTAGTCTAAAACACAATCCCATTTACTTTACGATAAAACAGCAAATAAATAAACGAAGGCTCCGTGAAGTCCTGGATTTAGTACTTAAAATTTGATCTATATATTTTCCTAATAATTTGAACTTTACATTTAAATGTGACGTGAAGGTGTAGCACTTCATCATAACAAGGTTCCCATTTAAGTTTTTCTGTATCACTTTACAATAAGTCTCCCCTTATAGATGGCTAATAAATAAGTGTAGTTATTAATTCCTCTATAAACACTTTATAAATCATTAATACTTGTTTATTATGCATTAATTAAGGGCGACAAAGACAAAACTGACCAGTTTCTTTCCAAATATTGAGCCAAATCTGTTCACCTATATATTTCATGTAGTTATATTAAACATTTCAGACTAAGTTACTACC